AGTTCTAGTCAAGCACAAATGAAACCGTTACCCAAAATGGTAACTCTAACACGAGGATCAAACTCCCCGTCTCGCAGCGATCACCCCAACTCTAAGCTAGCCCTGACCTACTCCCATACAAGGTATGATCATCGCAGTCCATCCACATGGAAACAGAAGGGTAAGATAGAGTTCAAAAATCAATCATACAAGTATAGAACAATAATCTATACTACACAATCATCCAACTATCTATCATATTCATAGAGTCACACCATACACTCTATCCAATACTACTCATGCATAAAATACAATCCACCAATCATGAAGTCAAACACCACACTTCATCATATTAATAATCATGCAATAAATGCATCTCATGACAGATATCAATGCATATCAATCATCTAATGCGTCGTCATGCATTACACCTAGGAGACCTCTATAACAATAAAGTTGTATAAGTGACATTCCATCCTACCGAAATCACCCCAACCGTTTTCACGCCCAATGCGCCTGCTCGGTCATAGCTAAACAGGATATAATCCTCACTCGGGTTTACTCGGATGATGTCACTTACACAATTGGAAGTTCAGATCCATCGTCAGGTATAGCACAGCTGGGTACGGGCTTACCACGACCTTGGCATGCATAACCAAGTCAATTGTGGAGTTCGCCCAACGACTATCCGCAAGGATCCACGCACCTTCCCGAGTACTTGGTTAAGGGAATAACCCTTGACCTCATACCCCGCTCCAACACTAGTTAAGGACTTAGAGGAGACTCACCCAACCCAGTGGCCTACCTGAGCACCACTCACAAATCCAGTGGCCTACCAGAGCACCACTCTCATATATCAGTGGTCTATCCAAGCACCACTCTCAAGAGACTCTATGTGAGCTCTTCCAGTTTGAAAATATTTTTCCTCTCCTCAAGTCCTAGGCTAAACTCGTGCCATAAGGCATCACATGCAATTATGCATCATACATCATACATGGTCTGCCCACCATCATGATCCACAATCATACACATGTCATAAGACATCACATGCAATAATGCATCATACATCATACATGGTCTACCCACCATCATGATTAATAAACATACTCATATGAACATATACACATGTCATATCATATTCAAACATTCATACGTGTCATCACAAAGCATATAAACCCCTCACCATACATCATATATCATACATACATGATCTAAAACTTTAACTTTAAACATGCATAAGCATCAATTATTTATAAACATATTCATGCACAGCGCAGTTAGCTCGCGCCTGGCCTAACACCAACCCAAGAGCTCTAAGCTCTTCCATGCCCGGCACGCCCAACCTGTGCCCGGCCTAATCCTAGTCAGAGAGTTAAACTCTCATTCAAACTAACAAATCCAGTCATAAGCAAACACAAAACACAATGCATAGGCTTCATACAACTCAAAAATAAACTTAAATCTCACATGCATCCAACATATGCATCAAAATCCTCCTTTTTCTCAAAATCCAAAAAATGAGATTTTCTTCGATCCATTTATGGATTCTCAACATTCATGCATCAATTGAGTTTCTAAACTCACATGCAACCTAAACAACAAACATTCTAGCTTCCATCACCTGAAGATTGGCTCAAAATAGCCAATAACTGAGAATAAGTAGAATTCCCTTCCAAAGCTCAACTCGGAATTTCAATTCTCCCAAAGCAAGCTTCCTAATCTAAATTTCAAGAAAAGACAGAAGGCATTAGTGATCTAGAGGAGAAAAGGAATCATACAGAGAAATTTGAGAGAGAAAGGAGCTCACAGACCCAGAGTCCTTCTCTCTAAAACTTCTCTCTAAAATCTTCACTTTCTCTTCAACCACCAACTCTTATTTATAGAAGTTCCGGAGTGGCCAGAACGGCCTGTTCCGAATCCGGAACGGCCCATTCTGCACCCTTTTACCATGTGCAAAAATCACATGCAGAACGGCCCGTTCTGGGACTCATCCAGAACGGCCCGTTCTCCATCCAGAACGACTCGTACTCCCTCTAGAACGACCCGTTTTGGGGTTTGGAACGGCTCGTTCTCCCTCTAGAACGGTCCGTTCTCAACTACGATTTTTAGGTCAATTTAGTAGTTTGGAATGGCCCGTTCTAGGCTACTAAATCACCCATATTAAGCTTTTGGGCCTTCCGAAATAACCTACTACGTTACAATTGACATTTAGTATTGGTTCAAGGGTGCTTAATAAATACTGAACTTCACTACTTGCTGAAAATGTTCAAGCCTTAATATGTACTAGAAATTGGAAACTAGGATTTTATGTGCATTGTAAATATTATAGTATCTTCCTAGATGATGCAATAAACTATTTACCCTTTTAACTACCTTATTTTTTTACTAATGTTATGAGTTATGATGTTGTGATGACTTGTTGGAAAAGAGGATGAAAATATGGATATGGAGAATGATGATCAACCACCATAAAATATGGAGTCAAATGTTTTTATTGGAAATGCTTGATTATATTTGATAAATGTATTTGGACTTGAGAATGATTTGTGTTCCTTTTAAAAAATTGATTACGACTTTGATATTTTGTTGTTAATTAGGACTTTCAAAGTTTGAAGACATTAAGACTCTAATGTTTGGTATCTATGTTTGGACTTTTAAATTTTAAAGACATTGAGGCTTTGATGTTTTTGTTAGTATATGTAAACTATGTTCTTCAAGAGTTTTGATTTATTATTAACAATGTTTGATGTTATATGTGATGCCCTGGACCTTATTTCCTTTTCCCTCTACCTTACCATTTTCTAAACCTTTCTATTCTTGCCTCCATAGGCTAACCAGTTGAAAGGGGTGAAGAAGTTCCAACTCCTAGGTTCTTGAAAGTTTTGTGTCCTCCTTTTTCTTCTCCATTATCCTTCTTATTTGGGCTCTCCTTTGGTGATTCTCGAAGCTTTTTCTTCCTCCTTCTCCTACTGGTGTAGCTCAGATTTGTTTCACTCTAAATTTAAGGTTAGGGAAACTTCATATTTATGCATTTTTGGATCAATTTCTGGTTTGTGGAAGCATGAATGGTGGATTGAATGGGTTATGTTGAGAAATCATTTTGTTTCGGGGTGTTCAAGCCAAATGGGGAATTTCTTGGTTTTGATCTCGTTTTGGTTTGCATGTTGATGTTTTAGGTTGTTTTAGTTGCTTTACATTGTTTTAAATATTTGGAAAAGGTTGCATGTGCTTGGGTTTTTCTTAATTTCTAGTTGTGGTTCAAATTTATGGATCTAAAGTGCCAAATTCTGATATTGGCATCGGGCACGCCTTCATGGTGTCGTGCGAGCTTTTGACAGAGACCCAAATCTCTTGTTTGCGCCAGGTGCGAGGCTAGTTGCCCTAGGCAGGAACTTGAACTTGAGTGTCTAGATGAAAGACGTTGGGTGCGAGTGAGGTCAATCGGGCGTGATATCAGAGACTTGAAAGCATAAGTCTCTACTGAGATGGTGCCAAGCGTGGAGTGTTAGGCGTCGGGCGTAAGAGCACTTGGAGACTCTTTGAGTCTCTAGCGCTGGGCGCGGATAGAGACGTGCCGGGTGCGGGTCACATGAATTAGTTTAGAACTATTACATATGTGGGTTGTCTTTTGTTGATTTTTAAATGACAAAAATGAGTTGTTTAGTTGCTGGTTGAAGTTTTTTATATGTTGTTTAATGTTGAGGATGTTATATTGATGTGTTGCAATGGTATTATGTTGAATTATTAAGATAAAATTCAAAGATGTGTAAGTTGTATGTTGTTTATGTTGTAAAGTTGATTAAAATTTGTTAAAGTTGTTTAATAAAGTTGATAAAATGTTGCCTATAGTTGTAAAGTTGATAAGTTGAGGACATATAGTTGATGATATATGTCTTATATTGAGATACGTAGTACTAAGGTGAAAATTGAAAGTTGTTTTAAAGTTGAACTCCTTAGTACTATGTAGGCAACATGAAAGTATTCGATCCATGTTATGGTTGAATGACCAAAGTGAATAAGGTATCTAGTTAGAGATGTAGTCTTTGACTAGGTACTGAAGGGTGCGTGGTACTTAGAGGGCACTGGGAGGACTAACTCCACATGTGGATTGGTGATGCAAGTCAAGGCTATGGTAAACTTATACCCAAACCCTTCTGCCTTGACAGTAGTACTGGACCTTCGAGTCTAAGTGGTACCACCTGAGAAATCAACTATTGTTGTCTAAGATGGAATATAAGGGATTACACATCATTTGTGCTTGTGGTCACTTAGCTTGCAATTGTCTGGTGTAGGTAATGGAAATTTGGGCCACTAACCAACCTGAAATGTCAACACAAAACTATTTAAGCAACCCATTAATGCTTTTTCTTAATATATGAATTTGGACTTGCTATACTTGTCTTCAATTTGGAAACAAATCTTTATCAACTTTTAGAAAAGTGATCCATTTTGGTAAAGGCTCTAAATTTGAACTTGCCTTGGCCTTCATAGTTAGTCTTTGTAAAGCTTGTTTCATCATCTTCATCTTGGACCATGTCATGGGATATCCAATGTCACACCAAAAAAATTTTGTCTTGACAAGTTGGATCTTTATTATAGGTAGACTAAACTCAATCTACTTTATTTCGATATCTATGAGTCCATTGTGAATATGTGTCATGTACAATTATGCATATCTATACACAACAACTTGCTATTAAAGTGAGTGTATGTTAGCATTTGTTACCCTAAACATTTTCTAACATATACTCACTTTTTAGCAAGAGTAAGATTGCAAACTATGTCGTAAATATATTTTAAAATAATCCTAATTATAGCTTGTTAACTTATTTTAATTAAAAAATTAAGTAGGTATAATTTAACAAATTTTAATTAAAAAATAAGTATAATTTAGCAAATTTTTTTAATGGACAAAGTTAAATTATTAAAATGTCTTTGAGTGGGTGAATGTAACAATCAACTGATCAACTCAATTTTGTTGAGGGAAAACAAAGCAAAGAACAAGCTGGCCATTAGATCCCAGGTTTATGCTGATGTGGTCGCCGCACCACAATTGGGCCCCAACATTGGTGATTACGAAAAATTGATAATTTCGTCAAGTAGGGTTTCGTTCCACCCAAAGAAACTTAGTTTTGCTTTCTTCTCTCATCCCCATAGGAAAAGTTGATTCACATATTCACGATTAATTCTTGAGAGTTGAATGAAAATCGAACGATGCATATTCTAATTATGTATGTTACAACATCTCCTTGGCCTGCATGAATACACCAGCAAAACCGAGCATTACATATGATATAACTAAATTCTCAACAAGTCTAAACCTCCTTGCTTATCCTAAGATGCCAACCAAACAGGTAAATCACTTCTACACGTTGTGTTACCAAGTGCATGCTTTTGTTTTTGTGTGCTATGCTTAACATATGGGTTTCCCCACCATATAGGTAAGTTATCGCAATGATAAAGCGGTGCTAGTGAGAGTATATGTTGAGAAGCCTAGGAAGAAGAGATCATCATCAGTTCAGCATCAGCATCATCACCATCACCTCCATTATCACATCCATCAAACAGTTAGACAAGAGGTAGTTCATCATGGCTCTGGTAGTAAGGGACATGATAGAAGAGCAGGGTTGCTTATGTACTCGCATCTCCTACGTGAGTCTACAAGAGGAGCATCATCAACACCCTCATTCTCCAAGAGGGTTGCAAACAACAATCTCCACCCACCTACCCAGGTAGGTGCACGCACCATTGACATAAAAATAATTTAATGTAATTTGATATATACTTATGATCTTTTTAAAGCTATGAAGGGGTACATAGTATATTTTTTAATTTTTTATTAATGTTTTTTCTTTTATAGGATGTGACTGAATTTATTATAATGCACTCACGTTTCCTTGTTATGTTATACTTTTGCAGATAGCCCCTTCTAACATGAAAAAGCCAGGTTATGGGGGAAAGACAACTTGCTTTGGCAATTGGAAACTACTGATTCCAAGGTTCTTAATAAGGTCATGGTCAAAAGCACAAAATAAAGAGAAAAAGAAGAAACAGACGGGTGGGGGTTTATCAGGAAATGGAACAAAAATGTTACAGGTATTTTCTATGCAAATTAAATTTTACAATAATTTGTTATAAGCCCTGATACCATGCTTTACTCTGATGCATGTTTCATTCTCACTCACTCAGGTATGGAGAGGAAAAAGTTTCTTTCTGAATGTGTTTTCAACAACACGCAAGTGAGCTTGAGGTTCAACTTTGTCCCGGACGAGGTATAACTCTAAGTATAATGTCTCGAATCTCAATCCAAATACGGCTTTATCGGGTAATTTGATTCAAGTTCTTATCTTCCATCATGCTAATTATATCATCAGTGGTCTTATTTCACATATTTTCTCTTATTTATCTTTTCGCAGTACAAATTTATTGTACAAATGCAATTTCTTCATGGATTGCAATTACTGGTATTTTGGTATCATGTACAAGGATTCAAATAGTCAAATTGCCACATTAATTTGGAATTTTTTAATATCTTCATGTACAATTTGGAATGCATTCCTTTTTTTTCATAGAAAAATACGTTAATATGTTATCACTTTGATTTTGTTAAACCACAAATAAAATAAGTAAAAAGGAATTAGTATTGCTAAATTACTCTAAATAACTCCTGTGAATGATTTTTACTTGACAGGTTGTCTCCTATAAAAAAATACCTATAATCTAAAATCAGCTGCTTACTAATTTTTAAAGTATGTTAACAAATTATAATGAGAAACAATTTCAAAATAAAGTTTAATGGATATACTTTCATTTAATGACTGTAAAAAAAAATTATACATTGTTTATGCAAATATTTTTTTCCTCTAAAACAAGGAGAATATATTAACAAAACCTCATTATAAAATACTTAAAATTATTGACAATTATAAAATACATAAGTTAATATTTTTATTATGAATAAAAATGCGCAACAGGTTCTTTCAAGTTTCATGTTGCAAAAAAAAACTGTAGAGTGAGAGATGGGTGAAGAACGGGTCATGGAAAAATGGGTTTTTGAACTACGGTTCGTTGAAGTGAGCAACCTCGCATCTTAAAGAAATAATCTTTAATTTAACAGCAAATATGTTCTGTTTGACAACTCATACTACAACTCTCGAATTTCAAAAAACTGAGAATACTAATTGGAAGAATGAAATTACGAAGCCAAAATGGTACGAGGTTGTCATTAAAACTCCTGGTAACAACGGCATCGAAATGTGATGATTGCACCAAGAACACAAGGCAACAGCAATAACGTCGTCTGAACATTTTTTTTTTCAGTGGAAAAGCTACTGCTGTTAAATTAAATAAATTAGAAACACCAATGAAAATTTTAGAAGCATGAAGAAATGGAATATAAAAGAGAATTGTCAATTATTGACGATGTTTAAAATGGTGTGAACACTCCACTTTAGAAAGTTCTCAAGGCCTCACCACCGATGTTTGAGAAATTGAGACATTGAGATCAATCGAGATTTGAGACATTCATTGAGAACCAGAAAAATAATGTAAATATTTTAAGTTGAAACAAAAAACTGCCAATAATAATAAAGGCAGGTAGGGTATCATTTGGGACTAATCTAAAGTTCGTATAAAATGTGAAAATTTATAAGAGTTCTTAAACTTAATGGAACATAATATGATTAAGTTAAGAAACTCCAATTTAGTTCACTATTGATTCTTCTGAATCTATATACAAGTAAAGAAATTGTTTATATTTCTTAAACTCAGACAAATTTTATACAAATCAATTTCATTTAATGTTCTATTCAAAAATACCCATAAAATAATAAATGAATATGATCTACCGTAAATGTGATTTAAGAATACTTTAATAAATATAATACATATTTTATATGATGTTGTGTAAATTAAATACATTTAACCATATTCTTTAATCTACATGAAATTATTATTATTATTATTATTTGCTTATACATCCGATCAAAAGGGAATATACAATGATGAATATCAAGTTCTCTATCGTATTTAAAACCAAATACATTTATTTCTACCAATCATTCAATTTTTATCTTACGCTCAATCTAAAAAATACTCCGCAAAATTTAAAAGGACAACAAATGCCTCAAAATTTTTGTACATAAAACATTAATGGAAATGAAAATAACGTATACAACCATTTTCCAACTTAATCTCAATAGTCCCCAGCCCTCAACCACTATTACAAGAGTATAGAATACAACAAACATTTGAAGGGGAAACCCTAACCTCGAAAAACCTCTTCTATATTTAATCTCGTGCGTTTTATCCTGTCACTTTCAAAACGTGCAGACAATTTTTTAAGAAATTATGACAAAATAGTAGCAAACTGTGAAACTTGAAAAGTTTGGAAGACCGTTTCGCACGTTTTTGAAGTAACAGAACCGAAACACATTTGTTACATTACAGGAGTTTCCTAGTGTTTTACCTATTTTACACATGTAATATAACAAAATTGGCCTGCAAAATTAGTCTGAGTCATGGTCTACTGAGATCTCTGTTGTCGAGTATACTCCCAGAGAGCAATGGCACCACTGACGTGAACATTGAGAGATCTAACAACTCCAAATTGCGGAATTTCGATGCAAGCATCCAAAATATGAATTACATCCACAGGTATACCTTCTTTCTCACGGCCAAGAACTAGGACCTGAGTAAACAACCAAATAATATGTTCAAACACGAAGTTAGACATGTCAGAAATGTATGGCATAAAGCATGGTATTAAAATAGCAAATATCAAAGATTGATGAAGCAAAACAACGAGCCAGTTAGCAAGAAAATATTTGTTTCCTTTAATCCCGCTAAGTAAAATTTGACTAAACGGTAACCCTTTTATCCATAAACCCCTGACCCACATGGTGAAAAATATTGGATTTTATTTTTATCAACTAAATATTCACTTCAGGCCACCATACACACCTACACAAGGTACTAGTATTTTATTTACCATAAACATCACATTGATCATTCAATGATTAATTCCACAAGTTTCGCCCTTCCACCAATTTGATAGCAAAATCTGACATGGAAGAACCAATTAAAAGTCTGTTTGTTTAAACTTTTTTCTTAAAAAAAGTATTTTCTTTTAATAAATAAACAGTTTTATTTTTTTTTAACAAAAAAGCAAATTCTATCTGCATAAAAAATTACTTTTTTATAAAACAGGTTTTTTATAATCGTTTTTTTAAATTTTAAAGAAAGTGGCCCTAAATACATATCAATGGATATCCAATTTGATGTATTGTATTTAAGAACCAATGTGATGTCACATGCACATCGTTGATCATCAAAATGTATTATTTATATAATGTTTATCCTACCCATTTTCACCTTTAATCAATATTGAGAGTAGATAGTTGCGGTGATTCAACATCTGATCCTCTAGTTTAGCTCAATACAAGTTCTAAATTCTGTTTGATATATATGGGGGAAAATCACTTTGCCACCACTCTTCAAAAAAATATTTCCGAAATTAGTTTACTTAGAAAGCCACAGTTGCAATCCATCACTTCTACATTACTGAGGCACAAACACTCCTTCAAAAGGACATGGTGTGTGCAACACTCTTGACACAACGACACACCTTGGGCACCCTTCCCCCATGATGCAATTAAAAAATAATTATTTTTTACTCAAACACCTCTCTTGGTCAACACCTACTCTTGATTAAACATTTCTATTATATATGAGGAGGGATCCTTTTACTCCAAGAATAAGTTTACCTAGACATATTCCGTTCAATAACTCATGTTCTACATCAAATTTCAACGATCCAACCGTTCAATTTAAAGTTCTTAATGCATAGATCAAATCTGCAAATTTTTAGAAAATTTGAAAATCATTTGATACTTCATTTCATTAATTCGAATCAATGTATAAAATGATTTTATGATTATCCGTCAATTTAAATAAATGAAATGAAGTATCAAATGATTTTTAAATTTTCTAAAAATTTGCAGATTTGATCTATGCATTAAAAACTATAAATTGAACGGTTGGATCGTTGAAATTTAATGTAAAACATGAGTTATTAAACAGATCCCTCCTCATTATATATATATATATATATATATATAGAGAGAGAGAGAGAGAGAGAGAGAGCATATCAAGTGAGAGAGAATTTATTATGAGAGATGAGAGGGTTAAAATATAACCCTTAGATTAATCAAGTGACAGAAAATTTGGGGTTTAATCAAGTGAGAAGAAATTAATCTAAGGGTTATATTTTAACCCTCTCATCTCTCATAATAAATTCCCTCTCACTTGATATGTTCCCTATATATATATATATATATATTAAAAGTCAACCAACAAATATTAGAAAGCTCAGCATTTTATGAGACTCATTTTTTCATAGGACTTATTTTGAGTTTTTTATTTTTATTTTGGTTAAGATTGCATTGTGAAATGATACCTCTTCGTATTCTATGAGGGTCATATTATCATATGAAAATTGAAAAGCTTAGGTTTTTGTCATATTGATTATATATTTTTATGTATTTATGTATAATTTAATCATTATGTAATTTAATCTTATTCAGAACTAATGTACTATAGCACTTTGTTATTGTAGTTTGCTACTTTGCTTTATTATGGAGTTGATACTATAACCAAAAGCCCCAGTGGCAGGGGGCAGTGAGGAACCACAGGAAAAGAAGTCCAAACAAGTACATATGGAAGCAATTTTATTATTAGTGGCATTTCCTGCTGAAGGGATATCCCT